ATAAAAAAAATTGAGAAATTCTTTCAAATTTAAATCTTGTACAAGAACTACAGCAAAAATCAGTTTATATGCATATTTGCATATTTTATCAATATTTTAGAAATTGTATTTGAATGTTACCAGTACTGAATTCAGCCAAAAAAGAGATTTAACTCAGACTGAGAAGTCAAAAATGATTAAATCCCCTTGAGAAATATTAAAAACTAATGCAATACAGAAATTTAAAAGTTAAGGCATGACCATTGGTCAGCAAAATGCTCATTGGGTCAGCGGGGTCAGAAAAAAAAAACAGGTGGAGAAGAAAAGACGCATGTTAACTGCAAAAAAATGTAAGAATTAATGTGAAGAATTAAGTGTTAAACCATCAGGAACCTTTTAGTCTCCAGTGCCACTGTTTTCCAGAACTGCAACCTTGAGTCTCCAGAAGTACAAGGTGTCAGGTTCTCTCAGAGACTTTGCTTCGGTAAAAAATCCTTAAAAATGACCCCTACTTAATAAGAATAACATTCTGAAGTGTTGTGAATCTGGCAGTAAGTTTTAGGAGCTGATTTTTGTCAGTCTCTGCAAGACAGACTTCTCAGGATAGGAGATGGACTAAAAATCAGCTCCCAAAACTTACTGCAACATGGAGCTAAGGAGAAAAATGTAGAGCTTGAAAATTTGGAAAAACAGAGTTTAAAAGCAAATAGAAAGTCCAATTTTTTATTTCTTTTCTTTATGTATTTTTTTTCAGATTTGCACGTGTACAAGGTTTAAAATTTTCATGAAATATTTTCAAAAAATATTGACTTTTTAGCAGCTGCGTTCCTCTAGGTCAAAGATGAAAAAATGGCATTTACAATAAAAAGTAATTTACAAAATAATTTAGACTTGAGTTAATTTATTAATGAGTAACGTCTCTTTTGAGTGAATGTGCAATTTTTTTTAATGTTAACAGGTTTTACCATGTTATTACAACATTTAACCACTTTTTATTAATAAAAAAATTTGAGAAATTCTTTCAAATTTAAATCTTGTACAAGAAGCTCCCAAAACTTACTGCAACATGGAGCTAAGGAGAAAAATGTAGAGCTTGAAAATTTGGAAAAACAGAGTTTAAAAGCAAATAGAAAGTCCAATTTTTTATTTCTTTTCTTTATGTATTTTTTTTCAGATTTGCACGTGTACAAGGTTTAAAATTTTCATGAAATATTTTCAAAAAATATTGACTTTTTAGCAGCTGCGTTCCTCTAGGTCAAAGATGAAAAAATGGCATTTACAATAAAAAGTAATTTACAAAATAATTTAGACTTGAGTTAATTTATTAATGAGTAACGTCTCTTTTGAGTGAATGTGCAATTTTTTTTAATGTTAACAGGTTTTACCATGTTATTACAACATTTAACCACTTTTTATTAATAAAAAAATTTGAGAAATTCTTTCAAATTTAAATCTTGTACAAGAACTACAGCAAAAATCAGTTTATATGCATATTTGCATATTTTATCAATATTTTAGAAATTGTATTTGAATGTTACCAGTACTGAATTCCTTTGAACACAACTGCTCAAAATGGTCTAAATTTATGAAACCGACACATTCAGAACATTATTACTCTGAAATGTTTAATGTAAATGTTAAGTGTACGTGAACTGTTAAGTAATGTAAGGTCTTTCATGACACTATTTTCTGGGGTGTGAATTCGATAGGTGCTTGATATAAAATAAATGGTGCTTTAAAAAGTCCTTGAATCTGGTGTTCATGAAAGAGTGGGAACCCTGACTATATTAAAAAAATATATTTAAAAACAAAAACTAATAAAATTACAAAAAAGCACATATCAAAATTACTAAAGCTTTACCTAAAGAATATGTGAGCCTGGAGCACAAAAGCAGTGTTAAGTCGCTGGGGTATATTTGTAGCAATAGCCAGCAATACATTGTATGGGTCACAATTATACATTTCTCTTTTATGCCAAAAATCATTAGGATATTAAGTAAAGATCATGTTCCATG